TTTTTACTTTGTATATATATGAAATGATGGATGTTCACTAAACTTATTGTGGTAACCATTTCATGATGTATGTCAGTCAAATCATTATGCTGTGTACCTTAAACTGATACAGTGTTGTATGTTAATTATTATCTCAATAAAACTGGAAGATAAATAAATAAATAAATAAATAAATAAATAAATAAATAAATAAATAAATAAATACATGCTTTGAGCCCAACATCTAGAAATCTTCTACCTACCTTCTGGACTCAAAAACTGAGGTTACAGTTTGTTCTAACCATTAGCCCTTTCCCCCCTTCATTTTCTATAGAAATGTCCCTCATTAAGTGCCTGATTGCTCACACTATATAGAGGCTTAACTTAAGTGGGCACCCTGCTCCCACCTGCAGTACCATTTCCTGAAATGAAACACAACTGTTTCACCAGAGGGACTTACTCCCACGTCTAAGAGACTGATTCAGTAAGATATGGGGCAATATACTTAGATTTGCTCTTTTCCTGTTGTTCCATCTATGGTGCTTCTGCCTTTGTAGATCTCTTATTTCTATACTTCGAACCCAAATCTCTCTGCACAGCTGCCGATTGAACTTTTAATATATGAAACTTATTTATGTTTCAAATGGGAGAATGAGGGATTCAGAGTATTCCACCCCAAAATAGGCAAGCCTGGTGTAAGGATCATTTTGAGCTGAAGGCAATAGACACAAGAAAAACTCTCTGTCCTCTCCCTCTCTACCGGGAAGGACAGTTTGATTCTTTAATCACCAGAGACAACTCTAGACTCTTAGCCCAGAGATGAGAGCAGAGAAATCTATACAACACACCTTGCGAAAACCCGTATTTTCCATTAACTCCCCCCGTTTATTTACCTTTTCACAATTTGCCACTCACTCCTAGAAGCTCAAAGTACTTTTCCTTTGTCTTGTCACTTCTCTACAAATTTAATGCTCTTACGATGCGACATATGCATCCCCTTAAATCTGAGGCTCTGAGACTGACGCACCCATAGGCTAGAATGGATGTGACACTGGGCCAGCTTCCAGGCCCAGGCCTTGAGGGACTAGCAGCTCCGACATCCTGATGCTGGGAACACTCGCCCTGGGAAGCGAGCCTCTGTGTTGTGAAGAAGCCCAGAAAGCCCTGTGGAGTGAGTGGTCCACATGATGAGGAATCAATGCTCCCAGCTGGCAGCCGGCAATAACTTGCCGGCTGTGTGATGCACCATTTTGAAAGTGGATTCTAGTTGAGCTGCCCCAGAGAGGCCACACGGAGCAGAGATAAGCCATCCCTGCTGATCCCTGCTCAACGTGGGTTTGTGGCAAAATATGTGATTGTTCTTAAGTCACGAAGGTCTGCTGTGGTTTGTTACACAGCAGCGCCCGGTCTCCTCCGTGTACTTGGGTCTCCCCTCCAAGTGCATGGCAGGTGGTGGGGACCCGCTTGGAGCTTCCCTCTTCCACTGCCTTTCTGGTGGCTGGTGACCTGCACTGGGTGTAGAGCAGTCAGTGGCAAGGGTGGCCTCTGTGGGGGTCAGGTATTGGGAGGGTCACACAGAGGGGGCTCAGGTTGCCTCAACAAGAACAGAACGAACTCTGGCCTCTCAGTCACTCATTGGCAGCCCAGAGTCCAGCTTGCTGGACCGTAAACACATAGAGATGGAATCTGCTGAGCCCGTGTTGAACTTGGGAAATGAGGGCCTCAGCTGAACCAGGGGACAGGTCGCCAAAGCATTTAAACAACCTGATGCCTTTTTTTCTGTATATTTGTTTATTTAAAAAAGTGTAGGAAATGAATAAAATGCTGCCTCAAAAGTATATACAACAAATAAATTATTTTGAGTTAAGCATTGCAGATCCACACAAATCAGTCCCAACCTTGACCCAGGTTATGTTCCATGGACTTATGCTTTTCTCCCTTGACTCTTCCTTGAGACATCCCCCTCCCGTGCAAAATGACTGCAGCATTAACCAGTCCTGTCTGAGTCGGGCTTTGTCACAGGTACAGAGGATGGGCGTGAGGGCAGCCCGGCATCAGCAGACCCAGCGTGGAGGACACTGTGCTGGCACAAGCCAGGCTTCAACAAATGTGTTTGGTTTTCAGTGACCCTGAAATATTTTACAGAAGTGGGGCCTGGGCTTTAAAGAAAAGAGCCAGGGGTATGTCGGGCTGGCCCCTTCAAGGAGGCATGTCTTTGGAAAACATTAAATCCACCTGAGGTCTCAGGAAGACAGCAACTTGGCCTGGAGTTTTGAGCTCTCGGTTAAAAGGAAATGGCCACGTGGTGCCCTTGTGAGTAAAGGTGGCGTGTGATGACAGCCATGCTTTGAGGGTGGGATTCAGAGCACTGACTGAGTGACTGTCAGAAGCAGCCAGGAGGTCAGAGAAGGCAGAGAATGGAGGGCCAGGGCCCCAACGATGATTTTAAATATTGATACAATTTCAGCAGAGGGAAGGAAGGCACAGCCCTCCTCTGGCCCTTCCTGGAGGGTGTTTGCCTGCATCTCAGGTCAAGACGCTGAGGGTCCCTGAGCAGAGCCAGCCTTTCAGAAGTAAAGGTGTCACTGTCGGCACCGAAGGCATAATTTAAAAAACCCCAACATATTCTTCCTCCTGGAAAGAGTTAAAAAAACCCTGGAACACACCATTTAGGAGACTGCAAAACTCCTTTTCATGGAGGCAAAATAGCAGGTGGACAAGTCTGGGCAGTGTATTTCCAAGGAGAAGTCACTGAACGCGACGACCTGCATCTACTTTTCTTTTCTTTTTTTAATGTTAATTCATTTTATTATTTTTTAATTTATTTATTTTTGGCTGCACTGGGTCTTTGCTGCTGCGTGCGGGCTTTCTCTAGTTACGGCGAGCGGGAGCTACTCTTTGTTATGGTGCGCGGGCGTCTCACTGCAGTGGCTTCTCTTGTTGCGGAGCACGGGCTCTAGGGCGCGTAGGTTTCAGTAGTTGTGGCATGCGGGTTCAGTAGTTGTGGCTCGTGGGCTCTAGAGTGCAGGCTCAGTAGTTGTGGCGCTCAGGCTTAGTTGCTCTGTGGCATGTGGGATCCTCCTGGACCAGGGTTTGAACCCACGTACCGTGCACTGGCAGGCGGATTCTTTAACCACTGCGCCACCAGGGAAGCCCTTCATCTACTTTCTAAAGGAGGTTTTGCCACAGAAGTATCGACCTGGGACTGTACTGACAAGCCATAACACAATCCTTCTCCTCCCGGATGAGAACAGGGGCCACGAGGGCAAATGCCCACAGGAGCTGGGCTGGCAATTAGTATAAATGAAGGATGTGGGCTGTGCGTAAAAGAAACTTTCCTGAAGCACCCATCAGCCTCAAGAATTGTCTTATTTCATATGAGATATGAGTCTTGAACTTTCCATTTCATTATGAGAAGCAACTCTGCAGGGTGTTGACTAATAGCAGCAGACCCTCAGCCTCAGTGTGTGAAGTGACAGGGTTGGTGGGCCCTGTGGTGAACTGGTGAACCAGATGCCGCATCTAAAGATGAGCTGCGTTTCAACTCCAGCTGGTTGTTGCTCAGTGAGAATGTGAGTCGCAGCACGGCCAGACCTTCTGATCCGGATTTTTATGTAAACATTTTATAATTTTAAGTGTTGGTGACTAACTCTTTAAAAAGATGCGCAGGTTAAACAAAACACACCTGTAGGCTGGATCATTCTGTAGTCTCTCCTGCAGGGGCAGAAAAGGTGTGGTAGGCAGAATAATGGTCCATGTCCTAATCCCCAGCACCTGTGGATATGTTACCTTACAGGGCAGAAGGGACTTTTCAGTGTAATTAAAGATCTTGAGATGGGGAGATAATTCTGGATTATCTGGCCGGGCTTTATAAGTGAAAGGTCCTTGTCAGTAAAAGAGGGAAGCAAGAACGTCACATTGCCACCATCTGAGGCAAGGAATGTGAGCAGCCTCTACAAACTGGAAAAGGCAAGGAGATGGATTCTCCCCTAGAGACTCCAGGAGCACAGCTCTGCTGACACATGGATTTTAGTTCAGTGAAACCCATTTTGTGCTTCTGATCTCCAGAACCCTAAGATAGGAAATTTGCGTCCTTTTAAGCCACCATGCTTGTGGTAATTTGTTGCAGTAGCATTAGGAAACTAATACAGGCGGCCACCCTTTGGTGTATCCTTCAATGTTTTTAGAGGATGAAAATACTCTCTAAATTTCTATTTAGATGCTAAAGTATTGCTGCAGCCGGGAGAGCCACACATGGCAATTTCAGGAAATTTCTCTTACTTCTAGGTCAAAGGACAATGGGACTCAAGATGGATTTCTGTGGTAGGATAACCACACGCAGAGCCAGAGAACCAGCAAGTCTCTTATCAAAGCAGATGTGCGTCAGTACCCTCAAACACGCACACCCTTTTCTGGCTGGACAGACTGCAAATTATTCCCACCTCCCAGGGGACAAGCACATGTTTATCTAGTGGTCAGCAGAAGTCAAAACCCAGCCATCTAACCAGTTAGCGTGAGCTGTCACGACGTCAGGTGAAAAGAGCTGCATGGCTATACATCTGACTTCTTAAATACACAGGACCACCAAATAAATACAATAAAGCATACTGACATTTCCACCCCGGGGACCCCAGTGAGAGCACGGGTCTCCGTGGGCTCCTAGGGGTTGGCACTGCCAACGTGAAGAAATCCAAATCCAAATCCAAATCCAAATCCAAATCCAGGGCTCACTGCATCCCTGTCCTGCGTGATTCAGCCTCTCCCCTCTCATCATGGACTGGTTACAACCCAACCTGAGTTTAGAAGGACTTTCACCGTGATGATCGTATCCAGATCACAATTCATCATTTTCAATGTCTCAGCACCGGAATGAGTCCACTTGGAAATCAGAAGTTGGTGGCATCCAGAAAGACCTCCTGCTATCCTTGCACAGAATTCCTCTTCTTCGGGATTTCTGGGTGGGAACCCTAAAGGGCACCTCAGTGCCCTGCTTTATGTGAAGTCTTAGGGGTGGGTCCAAGTTATTCCCCAGGCTCCATGGTCTCGTAGGTTTCTAGCAAGGGAGGGTCTGTGTTCCCATTGCTTATATTCCTGTCTTTGGGGTGGGAGAAGGTGTACGGTTCGCTCTCAGACTCAGAAAGGAAGCCAGAGGATGGCTCATCTTTGGTCAACTTTGCAGCTGGAGCCCTGGAGCATATGGGGGGTGGGGAGGGAGGGCAGTTCCCCGTGGGGCCCTGGAAGGGCCGGTAGGTGTCCACCTCTGGCTGGAGGAAGGACCCTTTGGAATCCTGCAGCAGATGCCCATACACCATGGTGTCATCGATTTCGGCATACACGTGGGAGTCGATGTCCTTCCGTCTTTTCTGAAGTTTTTTTGGCTGCATCGGCATCTGGGTATTGACGTTACTATTGTAGATACCTACGGCTGGGCCCTTGTTGATCTTCTTTTTCCTACTGAGGAAGGGAACAAGACAGAAGTCAGGAAGAAAACGATCTTAGAGGCTCACCAACTGTACATCACTACTGGAATGAAGATCATTCAGGGTTTTGACTGGGTCTCCCCCAAGTCCCTCAAATAGCTTAGCGTTTGAAACTGAAACTGCTGTCCTCAGCGAACATTTAGAAAGGGACCAGCTTATGTCTCCAGTTTTTAAGGTGGAAACAGGAGCAGAGAGTGGTTTAGAGAGGGCACTGTTAACACCCTCTGTGCCTGAGTTTGCTTTGATACCTGTGTGGTATCCAAAGGTACAGCCATCTGACAACCTCTCTTTCCTAGCAGAGACCGGTGGTGTCCCAAACCAACCACATCAAGCACGGGTGTGCCTAGGCCAACCTTCTATGACTCTCTGAGCTCTTTCCTGTAGCTAATGCTTCATCTCAGTTTTGCATGAGTACGAACTACGACCATCTAGTTTCTAAATGATAGCATACGACACTCAGATACAACCTCAGGAAGGTTGTATCTTAGTTTTTAGCTGGAGATGGGGACAGTAGGACTCAGCATCAGTAGTGGGATCCAGTCCCTTCAGCAGTAACCTCCAAAAGAGGACAGAGCTACAAAGAAGACAAAAGTCAGGCTGGGGTGCCCGGGTTCCTCCCTGACACCATTAATGCTTGGTTTGTAATGTTCTTTGGTATTGGACATGGATGGGCATTTGCACTCCCTGCCTCGGAAAACAAAGCCTCGCCCTCCATCTCCACCAGTGAAAAGCAGGGGATGCTGACTTTTCAGCTGACCAGAGATTCAAATGGAGGACAGTAGCTCAATTAGCATAACGGACCACATAATGCATGGCCGGCGGTTCACTAATTGTGAACCTGTACTTTTCTGAGATAAAAATACATCTAGTACATGTAGCTTGTAACGCTGGGTTCCCTGGCCAGGAAGACAGGCTGCAAGGCCTCCAGCCTGAAGCCTTGTAGCAATGCTCCGCCCACGTGCTCCTACAGCGCCTTGCTTGTCCCCACCAAGCTCTTCTCACACTGTCCTGACACCGCCTCCTTATTTGCCTGCTTCTTTAGTCCCTCTGCCCCCATAGACGGCAGGAGAAAAGACTGTGTCTTGTGTATCCCCAGCGCCTCTCCTGGTTCCTAGGGCCCAGGAGACCCTCAGGAAATACATGCTTAATGACCAAGTTCAACGGCACTGTCTGCCCTCCTTCTCACAGCAGGAACCCGTCCTCCCTCCCAACCCAACTTGGGGACAGGTAAGCCTTATGCGAACCTGCCAGCCAGTGGCCTCCCCCACAGCAAGGCAGGGGCTGGTAATTCCCAGGCCGGGACTGGGGCACTTTAGGGATGGAGGCAAGTGCTGGCCCCTCCCCTCGTCCAATTCCCTCCTGATGAGGAAGCCGGGGCCCAGTGCTAATGCCATGCTTTCCCATCTGGGTGGAACATACTGTGCACCCCAGACAGGAAAGTTTCCTGAGAGGAATGATACAATGATGTTTCTTTAAAAGAAGTCCTTTTCCCTCATGCCAGATGTGTGCAATCACATTTCACAGAGAAGACGCCTCCCCCCGAACCTGCCAACCCACCCTCATCAGCAGAGACATTTCTGATCAGCAATTTCAATTATTTGCTCATGGCCCCAGTTAATAAAAAATTTTTTTTTTTAGTTTTTTGCTAAGGGAAATAGATTTCCCCCTGCCCCCATGGCTTTAATTAGAAATAGGAGCAGAACTGATGAAATCTGGCAGCAGCATGTACTCTGTCTAAAAAGGTCAACAGTCTCCTCTCATAAAACAGAAGCTGTTACCCTGAGGGGGTGGAAGGTGAGACTGAGTCAGTTAACTGGGTCTTCCTTCCTCTTGCCCACAGGGCTGGCTTTTTGGTGCTTGTCTGGAGGCCAATAAACAAGCATAAAACAGACAGTTTGTTTAAGAAACTGGAGGAGAACAAGCTGGGCAGCCTGAGTGTGTTTTCCTCAAGGGGGCTGGGGGTGGGGGGGCGGGCGAGGAGAGGGAGCGGGTTCACAGGCCTGGTCTGGCAGGGTCTACGTGAGCGTTTTCCTGCCAAGATCACCCCTGTGAGGACCACAGTCTAATGAGCAGACAGTAAATGATTCACAGGGGACTTATGCTGAGGCAGCTGCGTAAAACTGCAGGCTAAAATGTCACCGCATGTGTATTTTTTTTTTTTTCCTACGAGGTAGGGGATTTTTTTCCCCCCTCCAAGCATAATTCACATCCAGCAATATTATTTATTTTCCACTTCTCTTTTTTTTGGCCACGCCAGGCGGCTTGCAGGATCTTAGTTCCCCAAACAGGGATCCAACCCACACCCCCGGCAGTGAAAGGTTGGAGTCCTAATTGCTGGACTGCCAGGGAATTCACCCCATGCAATATTTGTTTTTTTGGCCGCACTGCATAGCACATGGGACCTTAGTTCCCCGGCCAGGGATTGAACCGGCGCCCCCTGCACTGGAAGCACGGAGTCTTTACCACTGGACCGCCAGGGAAGTACCCGCCCTGGCAATATTATTTAACATGGATCTTTGCGGGGGAAAATGGAAAGCAAGGAAAAAAGTCAATAATTAGTGACAGCTCTGGTCTGTGTGATGTAAGGAGGTGTCAGCTCAGGTGAAGACAGTTCGAGAAATTCCACCTACTTCTTCTTCACAAAGCAAATGATGAGTCCGAGGGCAAACAGCAGTAAGGCGCCACCTCCCACCACCGCGAGGATGATGACAGTCAGGTCTGTGAGCAGAGACACAAGGGAGGGAGATGGGGAGACACTCGGTGTCAGGCTGGTGATGAACTCCAGTAGACAGTCTTCAAAGATGGCTACCATCCATTCCTTCCCTCCCCGTACGCGCACGCTGCTCCTCACTTTAAGGGGAATCTGTTTCCTTTCCTCTTGATTATGGGCTGTGCTGGTGTGGACCTAACCTTTTAGAAACCTGGCAGCTTCCTGCGCTTCCTGAGGAAAAGCCAGCCACCATGTAAGAGGCCTGACTATGCTGAGACCATGCTGTGAGGAGGCCCAAGTAGCCATGTGGAGACTCCATGAGGAAGACAAACCAAGGCTCCCAGCCTTGAAAGTGAGCAAAGGTGAACCATCCCAGCCCCCCCTAGCTATTCAAGGCATCTGGCTGAGGCGCCCCGGTATCTTAGAGCAGAGATGAGCCACCTGCTGTGCCCCATCCAAATTCCTGACCCATGGAATTGTGAGCAAAAAAAAAATGGACATTGTCTAAGCCACTGAATCTTGGAATAGTTTGTTATGCAGTGAAAGATAACTAAAACAAACTGGGGGACCTACCAGATCTATGCCAAAGGCTACTCCTGGCCTATCCCAGCTGTGCTCCCCTGATGGCCACAGCCCATGTTGGAGGAGAGAAGAGCAGAGGGTGTAGAAGAAAGCAGGGAGTCAAAAGTCAGAGGTGAAGGAGCTAAGGAGAGGGTTGTTTCGCGTGTGCTGTCCTTCTCCTACAGTTGTACAAAGGAAAAAGAAAATAAATCAGAGAGAAAGCCCTGCAGCAAACCAGGATTTAGAATTTCTGGCTTGTTCATTAAGAAAACAAAAGGTGAGACTGTGAGAAAATAGGACTAGAAATAAATGACAGAAAATGAATGTAAGAGAGGAAGAAAACTCAGGAGCTAATCTGAGAGTGTGGGCGAGCTTTTCACTTGTGGCTTCTGGTCCCCGTCGGTTCTCTTGCTGCTAACAACCTGTGTGTGGCCTTGGGTGGACATACAGTCTATCTGACCACCCAAAAGGGAAGGGGCTGGGGCAAAAAACCTCCGTGGTTCCAACACTCTGTGGTGCTCTGTGACTATCTTGGAATCAAGGGCTAACATGGCCCCACCACAGATTGCCTGAAACTCTTCAGTGGATACTACCACTTTGGGCATAAAGGCAAAATCCTCATCATGGCTCTGAGGCCCACAGCTGAGGGCATTCAAGGATTCTAATGTTTCACTGGACTAAATAAAAAATGCCAGCATCATGTATCTGTGTCACACTTTCCAGGTCCTCACAGTTTAATCACCAACACTGAATCCCCAGTGATAATTTTATGGGGTAGTTGCAATCATCTATTCTCTGCAGAGGAAGATCAGAGGAGTAAACAGACTTCCCCTATGTCAGAAAGAGGTTAATAGTAGATTGACTACCAAAATGCCCTAATTCTTCCCCTGCCCTGACCCATGTCCTTTATTTACTGTGTGATCCTGCAGCTCCTCCCATCAAGAGATGGAGTCTACCTGTCCACCCCTTGAATCTGGGCTGACGAAACCAATGCTGTCAAAGGGACAGGGTATGAGTTCCTAACCTAAGCGTCAGGAGAACTTGCATGCTTCCCCCAGCCTCTCTTGGATCTCTCTGCCTCTGCCATGAGAACAGGCCCCAGTTTGGAGGATAAGAGACCATGCTGAGGAGAGCCAAGGAACCCCAGTTATCACGGCTGATCTTGGCTGGGCCCCAGACATGTGAGAGTGCCCGGCCAAGACTGACAAAGTCCTCTAACCAACCTGCAGCTGCCCACAGGTGCTTGAGTGAATGAACCCTGACAAGCCCAGCTCAGAACTGCCCGGCCAACATGTGAGCAATAACAAATGGCTGTTTTTAAGCCGCTGAGTTCTGGGTGGTTTGTTATACAGTATTATTGACCCAACAGCTGACTGATACATGGACAGCCAGGACTCAAATCCATGCTTTCTGACTTGCCTTCCAGTCTTGCTCCTGATCCCTCAGCTACCAACTGCTATCCACCACCACCCCCGAAAGACCTTACCCATGGTCCTTGGGGTAAGCGAGACCCAGAAAAGCAGGTCCAGCTGCTTCTTGCTCATGGGGCTGCAGTTGGAGATGTTGACCCAGAAGCTGTGATAGCGGAAGCTTGGCTTGGGCAGCACCTCCTCCTCCAGGCTGAAGATCTCCTCGGTGTGGGCCCGCTGCTCCTGGATGATCATGAACGCACGCCCTGTCTGGCAGACCACGCCCGTCCGCTCTTTGAGGAAGGTCAGGCAGGCCACCTGGTCTTGGGGCACGCTGATGTTCCAGGACACAGAGGTGAGGGATGGTAGGCCCCTGTCCCAGTTAGGGGTCCTCAGGTAGACCTTGCTTTTCGTGTCCAGGGTCACAGTGAAAACACCTTCCTCTGCAGGAAAAGGAAGAGAATCCACTCAGATGTTGTTTCACTCAATCAAGATGGAAAGAATAGGAGGGTGGAGGAGATGATGCTACACTGTCCAGACTACAGAGCTTCCTGCCATGACGGATCTACACTGGCTAAGAGAGTAGCCACAGCCGCATGTGTCTGTTGAAGACTTGGAATGTGCTTGGTGTGACTGAAGAACTGAATTTTTAATTTTGTTTACTATTAATTTAAATTTAAATTGCCATGTGTGGCCAGTGGCTACCATATTGGTCAGCAAAGGAATAGAGTCTCAGATTAGGTTCTCGGGCCTTCTGAAAAAACCAACCCAACAACCAACCAAACAAACAAACACAAAACAGGCCAGTTTGCCAAACTGGTGGTTGTCTCAGCTTCCTTTCAGAAATGCCCTCAATGGAGCTAACATCTATCCAACGCCCTGCTCCATGGTGGGACTGGTGTACATTGATTTCTATTTTGGAAATTTAGAAAACTTCAGGTTCTGGGAAGAATTCTAGAGTTGCAAAGTTGAAAGGGTCTCTGACATGTCAACTAATCCACTCCTTATCTTCAGGTGAGATAAAACCCCAACACTCCACACTGAGGATGGTGTGTCTTATTTTCAAAGACTCCCCAGAAGGAGTTTCTCCGGTAACCTTGGAGATACCAGGCAACTTGGAATGACCTTAATCCTACGGCCAGATTCACTTCACTCCCACTCATGCCTCTGAGAACAAAATTACAGGGTAAACCTTGAATTAAGGTCTTGGTCAATTTAAAAATGAACTTAGCGATTTGTAGTGGTGACTGTGAATTTTAGAATCAACAATGTAGAGTTCACCGTTGTGACCGATTTAAACCTCACTTGCTGCCTGAGAAGATCATACACTAGCCTCCCAGGAGGGGTCTGCTCCCCCATGCAGGAGAACGCTCTAGAGATTCATCTCTCTCCCAGTATTCCTTCCTCTGTGCCCTCCAAACTGCGTTCTGAATTGTCAAAGCAGAATCATAAAAATATCTGCATAAGGATTTGTATGTTACCACTTCAAGAATCCAGGACTTGGGAATATTTGGTTAGTTCTCATTTATGCCCTGCCTGCTTCCAAAAAAGCCTCGAACCTGATTATCTGTTCTGCTGCCTACCAACCATCACCTCCCACTGTCAGACAGTCTTATTTCTGACTCCTGGAATTTTCCACACTAGGTTAATGGTAAAGTCAGGATTAGGACTCATCATCTTGTATGAGGAACAGCCCACTCAGCTATTCCCTTCTCTTCAAATTGACAATTAAGACGATCAGAAAACCAAAATAAGATAAATGTCCCAATAAGAAAGGCTAAGAGGGCATCGAGATGGGGAGAGAGTGAAAGACCACCTTACCTTTGAAGTGGGGGATAAGGGACACGGTCAGGCTCTGCCTGGAGGCCTCTTTCTGGAAGCTGGGGGCAAAGGTGCGGAGGGTCACCGAGACGTTCTGCTTCACCTGAATTTGCTCGATGGAGCCTCCAGAGCAGAAGGAGCCGAAGTAAAGGTCCTGGCCGGGAACGGCACTGGCCACGAGGTAGCTGAAGCTGGTGTTGCAAACCCTCTCGTGAGTGTGCTGCTGCAGCTTCTGGGCAGGCACCAGTGCCAGGCTGATGCTGTCTTTGGGCACCAGCAGCTTCCAGGAGAAGTCGTGCAGCTGCACAGGCAGCTGGAGGATGTACGATGGCACCTGGAGCGAGTAGGACTTCCTGTGGCAGTACTGGTGGTCCAGGCAGCCTACAAAAGAGGGGCTCGTGGTACCCAGGCTGGGAGGAAACCGGAAGTGCATCCTCTCCAGCTCTCAAGTCAGCCCGAGTCTTTCTGGCTTTTCCGTTTGGTCTCTCCTCTCCCGCTCTGTCCTGCGCTCCTGCCTCCTTGACGCCCCTTTCCTAGCTTCCCTCCTGCTCTTGCATTCTTACTCTCCACTAAACTGGCAGAACAACTTCTGGGGAGTATTCAGGGTTGAAATTTTCTCTTCTTGTTTGCTCAAGTTCTCAACTAAGACAACCTGTGTCTTAGATGCTAAGTGCCACGTGGGCAGGGTACAGGTTTTCCCCTTCACCCAGCCCTGCTGCCCAGTGTCCCTGCCTGTGGGGAGGCAGTTTGCCTAGTGGTTAGAGCTGGGAGCAGAGTTGGGGAGATCTCAGCTGGCGTTTCAGCTCTGCCGCTTCCTAATGGGGTGGCCTTGGGCTGGCTGCTTTGCCTCTCGCGGCTTCAGCTACTGCCTCAGTGGAGACCCTAAGAGCATCCACATCAGAGATGATGCTGGCCCAGCAAGGAGGTGACTATTGGTTTTGCTGCCCTCCACTGATTAAACATTTCTATGTGACTAGCACATGTCGGGCACGGCTAGTAGCTAAAGGGATAAAAAATGGAAGAAGCCAAAGTTTTTGAGCTCAAGACTTGGTCTCATGCAACAGAAGACAAGTGAGCAGTGAGCGTGGAAGCAGGGGGCGTGCGCATGGGGGAGGTTGGGGAAGGCTACAAGGATTTCACAGGAGGGCGACTGGAGGCTGGACAGAGGAGACGTGACCATGGACACGGGGGATGCCACTTGCTTCTGAAAGACGCATGTTCCCACGGAGGCTGCTGGTCTCAAAGGGGGTGTGTCTCCACCTTGCTCTGTGCTTCTTGGTTGCCCTTGCTCACCCTCACTGCTGGGGGCATTTCTGATCATACTATTTACAAACCACCCAGTGGACCCCACTAAGACAGGGCAGGGAGGGGAGAACTCCCACAGCCCGGGAGGAGCACACTGAAGGGGCGGGGGCGTACTTATGGTTTTCTCGGCGTTGATCCACAGGCGTGTCAGATCATCACAAAGGAAGGAGATCTTGTGTTTGGAGCCAGCTGTCAGGGTGAGGTTGGTGCTGCAGGTCCGAGAGTCCAGACACACGAAGCAGCCGGGGACAAATTTGCGGCTCAGTTTGCTGGGCTGTTGCTCAATGGTCAGCGACATGGCTCGCTCGTTACTCAAGTCAACCACGTAGGATTTATCTGGAACCACAAATAGAAAACAGGCATGAAGAATGGATCAGGATGAGCCCCGTGAGATGGCAAAAATGAGCACAAAATCTCTCATGGCTGGGAGACACTGGGACATTTTTTTATTATTAAGAAAACATTATGATAGCTTGAAACAAAATTTAAAAAGAAAGTCAGTGGACTGCATTTTGACCATCCTTATGTAACTGCTTTCATTTCTTCAAACTCATTTTAGTCCTTGTGCGTACGCATGCATATTTTCGCCTATTTAACAGTATGGTGTATATAAAATTTTATACTCAGATTTTACTTTATTATTTTATACAGATACACTTATCTGACCATATAGTTTTCATATTCACTAAGCTTTTAAAATATTCATTAATCTTAGTCATCTAAGTGAGATTTAGCATCACCTATTTAAATATTCTCCCTCTATGAAGAGTAATTAGCAACAGCTGGTATTAGTGCAGGGCTACAAGATTCACGGACAGGATGGAACCATAGATATTATAATTTAATCTCTGATAAATGCTACAGTTCAAGTAAATGACAAAAAGATGACGTATTCCATAGGCTGGGCCAGGAGAACGGTCTCTCCCATTAGTAGAAGAATAAGATTACACTAGCTCTTCAGAGCAGTCACCAAAATAAAAACAAAGAGAATATCTTTATAACTGTGGAATAAACACAAGTTATAAAAGCAAAAAGAAAAAAAAATAAAGATTAAAATATCTTCCTGACTCAGGTACCATAATGTTTAAAGGACAAGGGACACACTGGGAGAAAATATTTTCTACATAGGATGATGGAGAAGTTCACAGTAAAGGAAATATACAAGTCCAAATAGCCAAAATATGAAGTGTTGTTAATATCACTTGTAATACTACTTATAATTAGAGAAAAGCAAAGTAAAAGAAAGTGTATGGTATAAAAATAAAAACCCTACACCCCCTATAACCCAGCAGTGTGACATGGGTATATATGCCCTCATGTGTATGTCAGTGCTGTGACAGTGACTGCAGTAATACTGGAATAGTTAAACAGACCATGAAACTTTCACCAATGGAATATTACACAGCAGTTAAAAAGAATGAGGGCGAACTAAATATACTGATATAAGAACCTCCAAGATATAGTATTAGGTAAAACAGCAAGTTGTAGAACCATATTTAGACTACGACACCATTTGATTATGAAGTCTCTATGTAAAATGAAATAGTGATTTCTACATGTACATACTTATGTATGTATGTACTTAATATTTAAATGAAGAGAAAAAGGATTTGGAGAGAAAATAACAAACCCATAATTGTGGTTACCCTAGGAGGGGGGGCCTGGAAGTAGGGACAATACGGATGGTCAGGGGCGATTTTAGCTTCGTCTGTGATGTTTGAATTTCTAGTTAGAAAATATGTATGTATTTCTTATATAATTTGGAAAAACTGTCCAATTATTGTTGTTTTAGGTCACTTCTAGAAGTAAAAGATTCTAATAAGCACATGCGCTTATTCTAATAAGCACGTGCACATGCGCATGTTTAGTTTTTATCTATTTCCTCAGGATAAAATCCCAGAACTGATTGTTAGGTGAGAGAATAGGAATCTTTTCTCAACTATTTAGAATGGATTACCAGACTACTTTATAAAAGAGTCATTTCACTTTATAATGTCATCTCCAGAAAGCTCTACACTATGAACCCCTGGAAATCTCTTTTTACTGAGTTGCTTTTTAATTTCATTCGTTCTGCTTTTACAGAAGCCATCAAGTTAGGAAGATGCCTATGCAAGGTGGTGCTGCCTTTGCAAGTCATGGGTGTTGCCGATGTGTCTATCAGGTCTCTTAGTCTCTCTGCCTGCAGCTCCAGTGAATAAATAAGTCCCGTGCCAGATGGGAAAGCTCTGTTTCCCAAGAGAGTCTGCTAGGCTTCCTCCTTCCTGGTAACAGAAACCATATACTTAATAGAATTGTTCCTTTTGAACTGGCTGCCAGGGATCTCGGTGTCAAATTAGGAGCAAAATTAGGGAAATGTCTTATGGTTGTCATATCTGCTGACTCCTTTCTTTAGTTCTTATTGCTTATGTCTAGGTAAATTTTACTGTAAGTTCTAATAGTGCTTTAATCAGAGAGATGACATACCCAGAGCTGGAGTATATATGCTAATGTTGTTAACTTAAATATGATTTGATTTAGAAAATGGTTAGCTTTTCAGTCTCCTAGCCCCACATTCAGCTCATATCTTACTGTCCTTTAAAATTTATCTTTGTTGGGCTTCCCGGCGGCGCGGTGGTCGAGAGTCTGCCTGCCGATGCAGGGGACACGGGTTCGTGCCCCGGTCCGGGAAGATCCCAAATGCCGTGGAGCGGCTGGGCCCGTGAGCCGTGGCCATTGAGCCTGCGCGTCCGGAGCCTGTGCTCCGCAACGGGAGAGGCCACAACAGTGAGAGGAATTAACTTAATTTTTAGAACTTCTTTCTCTGAAACTAATCCTTTAAGGTATTAATTTCATAATAGTAGGGTTCCAGTACAATGATTTAAAAAAAAAAAAAAAAAAAAAAAATTATCTTCGTTGTTACCTCTGGGAAACCCTCCCTACCCCTACCCTGGCTGTGTTAGGAGCCCTTTTGTTTCTGAAACCCCACTCACCCTTATCGAGGTCCAATCACAGGTTGCAGGAGGCTCCCTACCCCCTCCGTCTTTCCTAATTTGTACGGTATCAAAGTAGTGCACGCACAGAATTTAAAGCAGGGTTTCTCTGGCTTGGCACTATTGACATTTGGGGCAGGGTAATTCTTCGTTGTGGGGCTGTCCTGTGCACTGTAAGATGTTTAGCAGCATCCCTGGCCTCCACCCACTAGATGCCAGTAGCACCCCTATGGCCCTCCATTATAACAACCAGAAATGTCTTCAGACATTGTCACATGTCCCTTGGGGGGCAAATTGCTCCTGCCTGAGAACCACTGGTTTAACGAATCAAATAGTTTTCTAAGGTTTGTTATGAAAACAAAACTCCCTCCCCACTGTGACCACTCCCCAGAATAACAACTTTCAACTCTTTTAGCAGGTTCTCTTTACAATTACATCCACAGCACCCAACAACATGCTTCTTTGCTGCTTCTAGATATTTCTGTTTCAGGGTTTTTAAAATAATTAATTAATTAATTAATTAATCTTTGGCTGCGTTGTGTCATCATTGCTGCGCATGGGCTTTCTCTAGTTGTGGTGAGCGGGGGCTACTCTTCGTTGCGGTGCGCAGGCTTCCCATCGCAGTGGCTTCTCTTGTTGTGGAGCTCGGGCTCTAGGCACGCGGGCTCAGTAGTTGTGGCTCGTGGGCTCTAGAGTGCAGGCTCAGTGGTTGTGGCGCACGGGCTCAGTTGCTCCGCAGCATGTGGGATATTCCCGCACCAGGGCTCGAACCTGTGTCCCCTGCATTGGCTTGATTTCTTAACCACTGCGCCACCAGGGGAGCCTGTTTCAGGTATTATTTGTTGGTTTCCCACAAAAGAAGATGAGGATTTCCTCTCCTTCACCCACACTCATGTCCCCCTGCCCACACCCCACACCTCGTATACAACATACACACACCCACAGTACACATGCCCAGCAAACATCCAAACCACACACTTGCTATCCACCCATCTTCCCAATCTTTACCATCATATTTTTAATGTTAGATCATTATTCTGTGTTGGTGTTATCATGACTATGTAAACAATAGTAACACAGTGTTTACACAGTCACGTTATTTCCATGCTATTGATTCTCTTTCTTGCACAAGATTTTACTTCCCTAGAATTAGTCATTGCCATTTAAATCATTTCCTTAGTTTCTATGTCCTTATCAGTAATTTGACACCCAAACTCTCCCCCACTTGTATAAATCTCCTTTCAATACCTATGAGAACATTAGGTATATCATCAAGCTATCTTTCTGAAAAGTCTCTCCAGAGCCTTCTCAACTGCTCTCATCTAAAGGGGCCCAGGTATGGTCTTGGGTCCCCTTGTACCATCATCCTAAGATTCCCTTTGCCTCTCTCTTGAAAGAAAAAAATTTTTGGCCGCACCTCGAGGCTTGCAGGATCTTACTTCCCCGACCAGGGACTGAACCCAGGCCAAGGGAGTGAACGCCAAATCCTAACCACTAGGCCACCAGGGAACTCCTGAGATTTCTTACTTATCCATGGGGATAAGTCAGAGGCCACAATGTGTCAACTCTTCCAGGACAAATTAAAGACTCACAGAGGGGCTTCCCTGGTGGCGCAGTGGTTAAGAATCCGCCTGCCAATGCAGGGGACATGGGTTTGATCCCTGGTCCGGGAAGATCCCACATGCCGCGGAGCAACTACGCCCACGAGCCACAACTACTGAGCTCACGCGCCACAACTACTGAAGCCTGCGTGCCCTAGGGCCCATGCTCCGCAACAAGAAAAGCCACTGCAGTGAGAAGCCCGTGCACTGCAATGAAGAGTAGCCCCCCTTGCCGCAACTAGAGAAAGCCTGCATGCAGCAATGAAGACCCAACACGGCCAAAAATAAGTAAATAAAGACTCACAGAGCAGGAGTTGCCCAAGGAAAAACAAAAACAACGCCAACATTTAGTTAAGGGCTCCAGGTGGCTTCTGGGGGGTTAATAAAAGCTGAAAAAGAAGCAATGCAACTGTTTCCACAACCAGCATTTACCCAGATCAGTTACTGGAAGTATCTGCTATAACATTCTGGAAACACATCCATCTACCTTATTTGAATCATGTTAACCCAGAAACCTACAGGGCTTGAAGATACACTCAGTCTGCTGGTATTTTCAGAGCAAGTAAACGTATCTTCCAGAAGCTAGAAGAGGATGCAAAAGGTAGTAGGCTAGCAGTCTGCTCCAACTACAGGGAGTAACATAGACAGGTAGACTACTATTAACTCATATGATCGTTATCAGCAGGGCCATTTGAACCTTTTAGAAATAATATCAGAAAATGAGAGACAGGCTGTGTGGGACAACAGAGAAGTTCTCTCTCTACGG